GTAAACAAAGGAGGAGGCTACAATGCTTGATAAGAAATGTACTCACTATCTTGCCCATGTAATTGTAACCCCTCTGTACAGTATTTTCACAATAAATAAATTAAAAAATTTTTTAAAAAGAAAAAAAATACTTTGATCATATTGTAGCATTATTACTCTGATATGTGTGTGTGTATGCTAGTACTGGGGTTGAACTCAGGGTGCCAGCACTAACCCTGAGCTTTGTTGCTCAAGGCTGATGCCTTACCACTACAGCCACAGCTCCACTTTTGGCTTTTAGTGATTAATTGGAGAAAAGTTTCAAGGATTTTCCTGCCCAGGATGACGTTGAATCGCTATCCTCAGATCTCAAGAGTAGTGCCACCCAGGATGGGAAGATTACGCTTGAAGGACAGCTGCTGTCAACTTTAAGCGCATTTTATATTCTGTTTTCAACTGAAAACATTATGTCATCATGATATTTCATGCCATTACAAGTTTTTGTATTCACAAAATATTTTATGTATCCATTAGACTCATAAATAAATTGATTTACTTTTTGTTGTTGTTGTTGGTTGTAGGGCTTGAACTCTGGGCATGAGCACTGTCCCTGAGCTCTTCAGTTCAAGGTGAGCTCTCTACCACTTTAGCCACAGCGCCATTTCTGGTTTTCTGGTGGTTAATTGGAGATAAGAGTCTCACAGACTTGGGGCTGGGAAGGTGGCTCAGTGGTAGAGCACTTGCCTTGCATGCTGGAGGCCCTGGGTTCGATTCCTCAGCACCATATAAGCAAAAAGAAAAAAGCCGGAAGTGGCGCTGTGGCTTAAAGTGGTAGAGTGCTAGCCTTGAGCTGAAGAGCTGAGGGACAGTGCCCAGGCCCAGAGTTCAGGCCCCACGACTAGACCCCCCCCCCCAAAAAAAAGAGTCTCACAGACTTTCTTGCCCAGGCTGGATCTGAACCACGATCCTCAGATCTCAGCCTCCTGAGTAGCTAGGATTATAGACAAGAGCCACTGGCGCCCTGGCTGATTTACATTTTTTAAAAAAAGTTAGCTAGACATACAGGGCATAGTGACACCTTCCTATAATCCCAACTATTTATGAGACTGAAGCAGGCTTAAAGTCTGAGGCTAGTCCTAGTCAAACGTGCAAGATCCAGCCTGAAAATAACTAAAACAGGATGGAGGACATGTGCTCTCTCAGACCAAACCCCAGCACTGACCAAGAGGGAAAACATTCAGTTTGAAGAAAATGGTGGCTTATGCCTGCAATCCTAGCTACTCAGGAGGCAGAGATGTGAAGACCGTGGTTTGAAGCCAGCTTGAATAGGAAAGTCTGTGAGACTGTTATCTCCAACTGACCATCAAAAAGCCAGAAGTAAACTATGGTTCAAGTGGTAGAGAATTAGGCTAGAGCACGAAAGCTCAAGGCCAGTGCCCAGGCCCTGAGGTCAAGCCTCACGACTGGCACATACAGTAAAACAAGTGCAATCCATTTGAAAGTATCACACTGTAGATTCTTCCTTTAGTTGTATCTTTTCTGGTAGAGAATTATAATTAAGGATAATACTAATTCTTGATTTACTTGGGAAGGAAATTTAATTATAAAATTATAAGAAATAGGGCTGGGAAGGTGGCTCAGTGGTAGAGCTCTTGCCTTGCATGCCTGAGGCCCTGGGTTCGATTCCTCAGCACCACATAAGCAGGAAACAAAAGCCAGAAGTGGCGCTGTGGCTCAAGTGGTAGAGTGTTAGCCTTGAGCTGAAGAGCTGAGGGACAGCGCCCAGGCCCAGAGTTCAGGCCCCACGATCGGACCCAAAAAAAAAAATTATAAGAAATATTGATGTGTCAGAAATATCTATCACAGTCAATTAACCAGAAAAAAAAAAAGGCTAATCAAAAACAGATGCCAGGGCTGGGAATGTGGCTTAGTGGTACAGTGCTTGCCTAGCATGAATGAAGCCCTGGGTTCGATTCCTCAGTACCACATAAACAGAAAAAGCCAGAAGTGGGGCTGGGGCTCAAGTGGTAGAGGGCTAGCCTTGAGCAAAAGAAGCTCAGGGACAGTGTCCAGGCCCTGAGTTCAAGCCCCAGGAGTGGGGGGAAAAAAAGAGAAGAAAAAAAAAGACAAAACATGCCAATAAGTAAATCTGAAATAAGTAAATTGAGCTCCTGGAATAAACTTCACTAAAAGCATTACACCAAGGGTAACATATTTAATTGGAATCGAACCAGAAGTTATTGACTATCCAGATTAATGAATACAACCCTTAGATATGTATTTAAATGTTTTTTTTCTTTCATGCATTTGTTTCTAACGCATTTATAAGATTATCTCTTCGTTGCTTTGTATGTCCCTCCCCCACAGTATAACCCCTGCTTTCACTATATTTGAAGTTGGTATAATTTGTGGAGGAGAAGGGGAAAAACAAGTCGTTTAAGGATACAGGTGGACCAACAATGAGAAGTACAAGTTGTCATGTTGAAAATGAACTTTACAACTTTGGTGGCGGGGGGGAAGGAATGAGTGGGGGAGGTTGGGAAGCGATGTGAAGGGTAAACAAAGGAGGTGGCTGCAATGTTTGATGAGAAATGTACTCATTATCTTGCCCATGTAATTGTAACCCCTCTGTACAGTATGTTCACAATTAAAAAAATAAAAAGATGAATGAATACAAGCTGGGCACCAGTGCCTCACGCCTGTAGTGCTAGCTACTCAGGAGGCTGAGATCTGAGGATCGCAGTTTGAAGCCAGCCCCACGGAGGAATGTCTGTGAGACTTTATCTCTGGTAAACTACTCAGAAAAAGCTGAAAGTGGTGCTGTGGCAAAAGTGGAAAAGCACTACTCGCCTTAAGCACAAAGATGCTCAGGGACATTGGCTAGGCCCTGAGTTCAAGCCCAGGAGCAGCAAAAACAAAAACAAAAAAAAATTATTTAATACCTGTTGCCAATAACGAGCTACTTCAGGCAAATTCAGAGCCTCGCAGAGATAAACCAAATTTAGAACATCTTTTTGGAAGCAGCTCCCACCAAATCCTGAGGAAAGAGAAATGTGGTATTTTCATGAGTCCAAAACTGAATCACTGAATCATGGGACAAATTTTACACTACATCATAGGGCTTGTACTACATTTTTTTTCAGTAACAAAATTCAGATATTAAAAAATTAATATATTCACCAGGCTCTGGTGGCTCACAACAGCTACTTAGGAGGCTGAGATCTAAGGATTGCAGTTTGAAGCCAGCCCAGTCTGTGAGACTATTTTTTTTTTTGGTCATGGGGCGTTGTCCCGCAGCTCTTCAGCTAAAGGCTAGCACTCTACCACTAGAGCCACAGCGCCACTTCCAGTTTTCTGGTGGCTAATTGGAGATAAGAGTCTCACCGACTTTCCTGCCCATCTGGCTTTGAACCACGATCCTCAGATCTCAGCCTCCTGAATAGCTAGGATTACAGGCATGAGCCACAGGCACCCAGCTCAGTCTGTGAGACTCTTATCTCTACCTAACCACCAAAAAAAGCTGAAAGTGGAGCTACGGCTCAAGTGTAGAGAGCACTAGCCTAGAGCAGAAAAAGCTCAGGGACAGCATCCAAGCCCTGAGTTCAAGTCCAAGGACCAGCAGTGTTGAGGCTATATATGACAGATAGCCCCAGAAACACTAGAAAGTCTGCCTGTTGCCCAGTGTGTAAAATATTCTATTTGTGAGATATATACATTGGCAGGTTCCTGCAAGCAGCTGCACATTGCTATATGTACTTCTTACATGTATCTTACATCTTATTTAATATATATTATTGGTCTACTACCTGTCAACTCAAGTTTTCCCTCCACGCTTGTGAGGGCATTGTGGCCTCCCTACGGGAAAACATTAGATGGCATTTGGCCTGTGCCTGGAGGCTCAAAGCTGTAATCCTAGCTACTCAGGAGGCTGAGATCTGAGGATCAAGGTTTGAAGCCAGCCTGTGGAGGAACGTCTGTGAAGCCCTGATCTCCACTAAAAACTACCAAACAATCTGGAAGCTGAAGCATGGTCCAAGTGGTAGAGTGCTAGCCCTGAGCAGAAGAAGGTCAGAAGGGACAGAGCCCAGGCCCTGAGCTCAAGTTCCAGTACCAACACACACAAAGCACAACAATGTGAGAAACATGGCACTGAATTATCACAAAAAGCATAGTGCTCACGTGTACAAACTGGCACATGGGGGCTGGGAAGGTGGCTCAGTGGTAGTGATTGCCTTGCATACATGAGGCTCTGGGTTTGATTCCTCAGCAACACATAGGCAGAAAAATCTGGAAGTGATGCTTTGGCTCAAGTGGTTGAGTGCTAGCTGAAGAACTGAGAGACAGCACCCAGGCCCAGAGTTCAAGCCCCACGACTGGGGGCGGTAAGGGGGACAGAATTTCATAAAGTTAGAAATCCAGTTAAATGAAGCCTCTTCAGGTAGAGAAAAGAATTTAACTTACCCACACTGGCTTTCAGGAACTTATTTCCGATCCTCTGGTCCATGCCGATAGCCGTGGCCACCTCCTCCACATCAGCCCCTGTAGCTTCGCACAGAGCACTGATGGAATTGATGCTGCTGATTCTCTGGGCGAGAAATGCATTTGCTGCCTTTAATAAGACAGGGGGAGAAGCAGAATAAGCCGAAGTAGAAACTTGAGATATAGTATTACACTTCATCAAGTTGACCTGAATTATTATTTTTTTTTTTTGGTCCAGTCGTGGGGCCCGAACTCTGGGTTTGGGTGCTGTCCCTCAGCTCTTCAGCTCAAGGCAAGTGCTCTACCCCTGAGCCACCTTCCCAGCCCCCTGAAAATTATTTTATAACTCAAATGTGCACAAAATACTTTCTTCAAAAGTATAAACTTTTAAGTCGGGCACCAGTGGCTCACACCTGTAATCCTAGGTAGTCAGGAAGCTGAGATCTGAGGTTTAAAGCCAGCCTGGGAAGGAAATCAATGAGACTCTTCTTTCCACTTAACCACCAGAAAACCAGAAGTGGCACTGTGGCTCAAGTGGTAGAGCGCTATCCTTGAGCTGAAGAGCTGAGGGACAGCACCCAAACCCAGAGTTCAATCCCCAAGACTGGCAAAAATAGATAGATAGATAGATAGATAGATAGATAATCTGTGAGTCAGACATGGTGGTGCATAACTGTGATTCCAGCACTTGGGAGACTGAGGAAGGAGAATCATGAGCCCCAATTCACCCTCTGTTACACAGAAACACTGTCTCAAAAACAACCAGAAAAGCCAGATATGGGTAGATCACACCTATAATCCTAGCTACTGAGGAGGCTGAGATCCAGAGGATTTCAATTCAAAATTTGCCTAGGTAGTAAAATCCACAAGATTCCATCTCCAAATGTAACTAGCAAAAAGTGGGGCTGGAGGCATGTCTCAAGTGGTAGAGCCATGGACAAGCAAGCTTGCTCAAGTAAACTCAAGGCCCTGAGTTCAAATCCTGTTCTAGCCAAAATTAACACAAAAAACAATCCTATACTTAAATTTGTCAAGCTTAAGGGAAATAAACACTTGGCTTTAAATTTAATGGAAAGTATTGATCCTATAATCCCAGTTATCTAAGAGGGTCACTTAAGCCCAGAAGTTAGGAGGACAGCTTGGACCAAATAGACTAAACAGAATGACCCCATCCCAAAAAGAACAGTGCATGTAGCTCACGTCTGTAATCCTAGCTACTAAGGAGGCTAAAATTTGAGGATCACAGTTGAGAGCCAGCTTGAGCAGGGAAGTCCATGAGACTTGTATCTCCAATTAACAACCAGTAAACTGGAAGTGAAGCTGTGGCTCAAAATGGTAGAGCACTAGTTTTGAACAAAAAAGCTCAAGGACAGCACCCAGGCCCTGAGTTCAAGCCCCACAAATGACCAAAAAAATTTTTTTAAAAAACGAGGTGTGGTGGTGCAAACCTGTTATTCCAGTGCTCAGGAAGGAGACACAAGAGGATCACAGGTTTGAGGTCAGCCGGAATTACATAAGACTTTGTCCAAGAACAACAAGTTTAAAGAACAGTGGAAATCCATGCACTAACCAGTTTGGAAAGCTCCGATGACCAAGTGTTGGTGGTGAGGATCTTTTCTTTGGGAACCCAGTGCTCATACACAGCGCACAGCGCCTGCACCGCTCTCCGGCCCTCTGGGGTTTCATCCCCTCCAATTAGTACTCTGTCTGGGTTCTTGAGGTCCTTGATGGCTGTTCCCTCTGCCAAGAACTCAGGGTTGGACAGCACCTAGAACCCCAATGCAAAGGAAAGTTTTAGGCTAGACTTAATCACAGGAAACTTGAAGGCATCAGTATTTACAGAAGAACCAGACTCTAATGCGTACAGATACGTGTGTGTGTATGTGTGTGTGTGTATGTATATATATACATTTGCATTGTATATGTGTATATATACAATATATTCTGTATAGTGTGTGTGTGTATATATATATATATAAACAAATGTACACACTCACATACCTGTAAATTCAAATCAGGTTTTGTGTTTGCATCAAATATGCGGCGAATGCTTTCTGCAGCCCGCACTGGAACCGTGCTTTTCTCAGTCACAATCTTGTATCCATTGGAGTTTTTCACAATGCGTCTAGCACATGCTTCGATGTACTTCAGGTCTGCTGCCCGGCCTTTCCCCATACCGTAGGTTTTTGTTGGAGTATTCACCTGATGAAGAAGAGAACCTGTGAGCTGCTCAGTGGTTTCCAGACTGTTTCCTTGGTCTCTCCCACGTTATCACCAGATAGTGTGAAATCAGGAACCATCCATGTGTATGGTTTTCACACTCTAATATGTCCATGGAAATAACACTCTTACTTATTTATTTATTTTTGGCCAGTCCTGGGGCTTGAATTCAGGGCCTGGGCACCGTCCCCCAGCTTCTTTTGCTCAAGGCTAATACTCTACCACTTGAGCCACAGTGTCACTTCTGGTCTTTCCTGTTTATGAGGTACTGAGGGATCAAACCCAGGGCTTCATGCATGTTAGGCAAACAATCTACCACTAAGCCACATTCCCAGCCCCAAATAATACTTTTTTTTTTGCTTTTGCAGTTTTTAATTAAGATTTTTATTATGAAAATACTGTACAAAGGGGTTACAGTTACATGAGCAAGGAAATGAGTACATTTCTTATCCAGCATTGTTGCCTCCTCCTTTGTTTTTCCCTTACCATCCCTTCCCTCCCACCTCCTCAGCTATACCCCCTACCCCCCACCCACCCCCAAATAATACATCTTATAAATATAATCACTAGAAGAAACATCTGCAGAATTCATTCAATACATTTTTGCTGAGTAGCTACTGCACTGGAATAGGCAGGTACAAACTATGCCCTTGAGATAATAAGGAATGAGAAAGTTCTCATCTAAAGGAATGCACTGAAATGAAGCTTTCTCTACTTTTCCTTATCGTATGCAATATACTATCATAGTCCTTAAAAATAAACTTTAAAATTCTTTACCATTCCTAAGCAGGCACTGGTGGCTCACACCTGAGCTGAAGAACTGAGGTACAGCACCCAGGCCCAGAGTTTAAGCCCACAACTGGCCAAAAAAAAAAAAATCTTCACCATTCCTTATTTTTATGATATTAATAGCATTCTGAAACTGTGGCAGCATTCACAAATGCTTTCTTTTTTGTCGTTGTTGGTAGTAGAGCTTGAACTTAGGAGCTGGGTGCGTCCCCTGAGCTTTTTCACTCCAGGCTAACACTCTACTACTTTGAGCCCCAGCTCTACCTCCAGTTTTCTGATAATTAGTTGGAAGTAAGAGTCTCACCGACACTCCTGCCTGGGCTGGTTTTGAACTGTGATCCTAGATTTCAGCCTCCTAAATAGCTAGGATTACAGACACAAGCTACTGGCACCTGGCCTGGCTTTCTTAATTTGTTAAAAGAGGACTCCTGGTTTATTTTTCTTTCTTTTCTTTCTCCCCTGTGCTGGTACCATGCTCATGTTTGGCTTGCTTCCTCGTGGCCAGCACTCTACCACTTGAGTCATACCTACAGTCCAGCATTTTACTTATTAATAGGAGATAGAATCTTGAGAATTTTTCTGTCCAGGCTGTAATTGTATTTTATTATAATCCTCAAATCTCAGCCTCCTGAGTAGCTAGGATTACAGGCCTGAACTACTGGCATCCACTGCTAAGTGCTAAGCATTTATTTCTTGGCTTCCTCTGTTTCAGTGACTATTAAAAAATGAAAATCACATGCTCTGGAAAAATTAGCTCAAGTGTTACTCTAAAAAGTACTCTAAAAAGTAAACAACTTAATGAGAATAAATAGAATTTTTTTATTGTTCATATTGTTGTCTTGAGACAAGATCTTGCTACATAGATCAGGCTGGCCTGGGCCCTGTGACCCTCAGCCTCCTTAATAGCTGCAATCTTACGAGTGTCCTAGTATACCAGAGACAGAAATGATTTTGAATTACCATTAAGGAACACTAATTCTCTTCCCTTGATGACCTTACCACCTAATGAGAGACTAAGTAAAGGAACCAAGAAAAATAAATCAAAAGTTTAATATGAAATTGATCTGTGAAAAGCAAGAGGACAAAGTTCTTTATATGCATGGAATGATAGGACATCCCTTAGATGTGGAAAGCAGAGGACGAGGGTGCAGAAGAGGTAAATGAAACTCGCTGGAGATGGGAGATGATCAGACAATTTTCCCTAGTAAAGGAGCTCTGAGATGAAAACCATTCTCTCTTCACCAGGCGTTGGTGGCTCACGCCTATAATCCTAAGGAGCTACTCAGGAGGCTGAGATCTGAGGATCACGGTTCAAAGCCAGCCTGGGCAGGAAAGTCTGTGAGACTCTTATCTCCAATAAAGCACTAGAAAACCGGAAGTAGCACTGTGGCTCAAAGGGTAGAGCACTCGCCTTGAGCTGAAGAGCACAGGGATAGCGCCCAAGCCCAGAGTTCAAGCCCTACCACCGACAAAAAGAAAAAAAAAAGATTCTCACAATAATTTGGGGCATCTATAATAGACAAAAGACAATGCCAAAAGATAATAGCTCTGATGCTCCTTCTCTTAGTTACTGGGATCTGGGAGTGGCTGGCTCAACCACGGGAAGCACCTCAGTGGATGTTACCACAAGTCGCCAAGGCCCTCAGAGAATGATCTAACACACTCCACCACTGTCACAACAGGTAGATTCACTGCAGATTCTATTTTTACAAAATAGAAGATCTGGAGATCTACTAACAGCTAGAGCTGGAGGCGTGTGTCTGCTTAAGAGTGAAACATTGCTTCTTCTATATTATTCCCTCAGAAAAAGCCATCAATCGCACAGACAAAGCCTCTGACCTAGTACACCAGGGCAACACTACAACAGATGATGGCATTCCTCAAGGATACCTCCTGAAAGGCCTGTGCTCACTTACCACTGTGGAGGCTCTTGTTCATTTTCCTCAGCTTTGGACCAAGTCTGCTGGGACTCCATATGGATTCAACCAGGCATCAAATCATGTTCATTTAGGGACAATTCCTCCTCCTACAGGATTTCAACCTGTGCCCAAAGTGCCTAAAGCTTTCCTAGATGACACATCAGTCATCCAGGATAACAGTGTAGACACTGGGTAACTTGGCCAGTCCCTCACGTAGCGTCCCAGGACCGCATTCATCCCACCAGCCAGAACCTCCTAGCTCCTCCTCCACATTTACAAGCAACCACATACACGCTTCATGGACACCATGATGTTTCTTTCCTTTCTCACACCAGCCTAACATTCCCTTTATTCCTAAGGTCAGAAACCACCACACCTCAGATACCAATTGGTGATACCATCATAGAAAGAAAATTTCAGTAGATGGCTACTAGGGGCAACAAGAAATAAATTGCTAAGCCATATGATAAGATAAAGGTTATCTGTGGCTAGTCTGATAACTTAGTCAACAAATACTAATCAATTTAAAATGAGTACAGGGTAAGACATGTCTGTAAGTTTGCAAATTGATTCTCTTTACTTCATTTCAAATGATAAATATATACTATTATCACATGTGCTCACCTGGGACCAGGATTTCTTGGTTCTGGTTCTTAGATTAGGACTTTTTTTCATTTCATTTCATTTTTCTTTTTTTTTTCTTTTTGTTGCCAGTACTGGGGCTTGAACTCAAGGCCTGTGTGATATCCTTGAATTACTTTTTCAAGGCTACAATCCACAGTGCCTTGTCCCCTTTTTTTAGTAATAGATTGGAAATAAGGGTCTCACGGACTGGGGGGGAGATGGGAAGGGATGGGAAGGGGAAACAAAGGAGGAGGCTACAATGCTTGATAAGAAATGTAGTCATTATCTTGCCCATGTAATTGTAACCCCTCTGTACAGTATTTTCACAATTAAAAAAAAAAAGAGTCTCATGAATTTTTCCTGCTATGCTGGCTTTGAACTATGAGCCTTAGATCTCAGCTTCCTGAGTAGCTAGGATTATAGGCATGAGCCACCAGCACCCAGCTTTATTAGGACTTTATTTGAATTTATTTATTCAGTGATTTGAAATGATATGCATGACCAGATGATTATATGGTGGACAAGGAAACAATCAAAATTCAACTGGACTTCTCCTTATTAAACAATGTTGTAACTTAATAGCAAATTGAACAGTAAGAGATTTGTTTCATTTTCTGGGTGCCAATGCTGGGATTTGAACTCAAGACCTGGCTGCTGTCCCTGAGATTCTTTTGCCCAAAGCTAGTGCTCTTGGGCCATCTCTCCACTTCTGGACTTTTTGGAGATGAGAATCTCATAGACTTACTGCCTGGACTGGTTTTAAACCGTGACCCTTAGACTCAGCTGCCTGAGTAGCTAGGATCACATGTGTGAGCCACCTGTGCCTGGCCAATAAGTTTTTTGTTTTTTGTTTGCCAGTCCTAGGGTTTGAACTCAGGGCTTGGGAACTGTCTCTCAGCTTCTTTTGCTAAAAGCTAACACTCTACCATTTGAGTCACAGGGCCACTTTTGGCTTTTTCTGTTTATGTAGTACTAAGGAATTGAACCCAGAGCCTCAGGCATGCAAGGCAAGCACTCTACCACTAAGCCACATTCCCAGCTCCTCAGTAAGTTTTATATACATATAAATGCATCAAAATTCACACAGTAAGGAAAACTACTTACAGAAATAAATACGAGATCAGCTTCTTTGATGGCTTCATCAATATTCGTAGAAAAAAATAGATTTTTTCCTCGACAGGATTCTACTACTTCTTTTAATCCTGGCTAGAAAGAAAAAGGGAAAAGATTTTTTCATACAGCTTACCAGTCATATGAGATACTCTAATTAATGTTTGTTAAAAGTAAAGGATCAGCTCAGGTGTGTTAGCACATACGTGTAACCCAGCATTTGGAAGGTATCCTGCCGGGGCTGGTTTTGAACCGTGATCCTCAGATCTCAGCCTCCTGAGTAGCTAGGATTACAGGTGTGAACCACCAGTGCCCAGCTATCCCTGAGGTTTTTAGCTCAAGGTTAAGCACTCTACCACTTAAGCCACATGTCCACTTCCAACTTTTAGTGGTTAGAGATAGGAGTCTCATGAACTTTTCTGCCTAGGATGGTTTCAAATTGTGAACCTCAACCTTAGCCTTCTGCGTAGCTAGGATTACAGGCATGAGCCGCCAGTGCTTGGTAATGATTATTCAATAAATATGGTTATATCAAAATAAGAGTCAGGAGAGAGAGTTGTTTGCAGTGCTAGGGTCAAATAAATCTAGAGCCTGAGAGATGCTGCTCTAGTAGCACACCAACAAATAATTTTAATTGTTAAATCTTAACAATACTACTATACTATTTCTGTAATAAGTAAAAGAATACCACCTTAAATCAGGGCTTTTCAAAAAGAACCTGGGGAAGGTAGGGAGGGAAAGGATAGTAGGTGGTAACAATGCTCAATAGGAAGTGTACTCATTACCTTACTCCTGTAACTGTAACCCTCTGTATAGTATCTTTACAATAAAAAATTTAAAAAATATAAATCAGGGCTTTTCTTACTCATTTCTTTTCCAAATTACCACCACATTGAACCCAAATATTAGCTAGCCTATTTTTGAACAGTTATGGGCTGGGAATGTGGCTTAGTGATAGAATACTTCCCTAGCATTCATGAAGTCCTGGGTTCGATTCCTCAGAAGTAGCACTGTAGCTCAAGTAGTAGAGTGCTAGTCTTGAGCAAAAGCTCACGGACAGCGCCTAGGCCCACAGTTCAAGCCCCACGATCAACAAAAAATAAAAAAATTAAAAAGATTTTTAAAAATGGAGTTATAGGGGCTGGGAAGGTGGCTCAGTGGTAGAGCGCTTCCTTGCATGCCTGAGGCCCTGGGTTCGATTCCTCAGCACCACATAAGCAAAAAATAAAAAGCCGGAAGTGGCGCTGTGGCTCAAGTGGTAGAGCCCTAGCCTTGAGCTGAAGAGCTGAGGGACAGCGCCCAGGCCCAGAGTTCAGGCCCCATGACCGGACCCAAAAAAAAAAAAAAGAAAAAAGCCGGAAGTGGCGCTGTGGCTCAAGTGGTAAAGCGCTAGCCTTGAGCTAAAGAGCTGAGGGACAGCGCCCAGGCCCAGAGTTCACACCCCACGACTGGACACCCCCCCCAAAAAAAATGGTGTTACATGATATACGCCACTTTGTGTTTAGCAATATTACTTTTGTCAGAACTTAACCATAATAAACTTAACCAAATAATACTAATAACAAGGGGCTGGGAAGGTGGCTCAGTGGTAGAGCACTTGCCTTGCATGCTCGAGGCCCTGGGTTCGATTCCTCAGTATCAAATAAGAAAAAAGAAAAAAACCGGAAGTGGCCCTGTGGCTCAAGTGGTAGAGCACTAGCCTTGAGCTGAAGAGCTGAGGGACAGAGCCCAGGCCCAGAGTTCAGGCCCCATGACCGGACCCAAAAAAAAATACTAATAACAAAATAATTTTAAAAAATTAATCAACTTAATCAAAATAATAACAGCCACAGTGCCACCTGGAGCCTGGGCTCTAAATGATTATTTTCCTTTTCTTTTCTGGGGGGGATTGGTGCTGGTCCAGGGGCTTGAACTCAGGGCTTAAGTGCTATGCCTTTTGCTCAAGGCTAGCACTCTACAATTGAGCCACAGCTCCACTTCTAGCTTTAATGGAAGTTTTAGTGGAGACTTTCCGACTCACGCTGGCTTCCAATGGTGATCCTGAGATCTCAATCTCCTGATTAGCTAAGATTACAGGTATGAGCCACTGGCGCCCAACTTAAAATAATTTCAAGCCAGATTCCAGTGACTCACAATAATCTTAGCTTCACAGGAAGCTGAGAGTGAAGGATCAAGGTTCACAGCCAGCCTATATAAATTCTAGAGTTACCCCTCATTAGTCAACAAAAAAGCTGAAAGTAGAGGCATGGATCAAATGGTAGAGCATCAGTCCTGGGCAAAAAAGCCAAGTAAGAGCATAAGGCCTTGCCTTCAAGCCCCAGTACAAGAAACAAGTTAGGCACTGGTAGCTCACACCTGTAATCCTAGCTACTCAGGAGGCTAATCTGAGCATCTCAGTTCAAAGCCAGCCTGGGCAGGCAAGTCCATGAGACTTTCAATAAACAACTCCAATAAACTACTCAGAAAAAGCTGGGGGGCTGGGAAGATGGCTCAGTGGTAGAGTGCTTGCCTTGCATGCCTGAGGCCCTGGGTTCGATTCCTTAGCACCACATAGCAAAAAGAAAAAAAGCTGGAGGTGGCGCTGTGGCTGAAGTGGTAGAACACTAGCCTTGAGCTGAAGAGCTGAGGGACAGCGCCCAGGCCCAGAGTTCAGGCCCCACTACTGGACCCAAAAAAAAAAAAAAAAGAAAAAGCTGGAAGTAGAGCTGTGGCTCAAGTGGTAGAGTGCTAACCTTGAGCACAAAGAGGCTCAAGGACAGTGCCTAGGCCCTGCTAAGTTCAAGCCCCAGAATGGGCAAAAAAAAAAAGAAAGAAAAAATAATGAACAAAAAAAGTCAAAAGTTATTAATTTTTATTTCTATATATTTATTTTTAATAATATTTCATTTTATTGTAAGGGTGATGCTCAGAGGGGCTACAGTTAGATAAGTAATGAGTACATTTCTTGTCGAACAGTGTTACCCCCTACCTCATTTTCTCCTACTTTCCCTCCCTCCTCCATACATTCAAATAAACTACCTTAACAATATTTATCCCTATGTACCTCTTTGGTCCTAGCCAGTGATGCTTGAACTCAGGGCCTTATTTTTTTGCTCAAGGCTGGTGCTTTAACACTTGAGCCACACCTCCACATCAAGCTGTTTTTTTTTTTTTTTTTTGGTCAGTCCTGGGGCTTGAACTCTGGGCATGGGTCCTGTCCCTCAGCTCTTCAGCTCAAGGCGAGTGCTCTTCCACTTGAGCCACAGCACCATTTCCAGTTTTCTGGTGGTTTATTGGAGATAAGAGTTTCATAGGGCTGGGAAGGTGGGTCAGTGGTAGAGCGCTTGCCTTGCATGCTTGAGGCCCTGGGTTCGATTCCTTAGCACCACATAAGCAAAAAGAAAAAAGCCAGAAGTGGCGCTGTAGCTCAAGTAGTAGAGTGCTGGCCTTGAGCTGAAGAGCTGAGGGACAGTGCCCAGGCCCAGAGTTCAGGCCCCACGACCGGACCCCCCCCCCAAAAAAAAAAAATAGTTTCACAGACTTTCCTTCTCAGGCTGGCTTTGAACTGCAAGCCTGAGATCTTAGCCTCCTGAGTAGCTAGGATTACAGGCGTGAGCCACAGGTGCCTGGCTGAGCTTTTTGCTTGTTAAAGGAGACACAAAAGTCTCATGAGGGACTGGGAAGGTGGCTCAGTGGTAGAGTACTTGCCTTGCATGCATGACACACTGGGTTTGATTTCTCTGTCCCTCAGCTCTTCAGCTCAAGGCTGCCACTTGAGCCACAGTGCCACTTCTGACTTTTTCTGCTTATGTGGTGCTGAGGAATCTAACCCAGAGGTCAAGCCCCACAACTGACAAAAGAAAAATCCCGCATAATCTCACTGAATTAAAAACCATTATTAATTTTCTTTGTGTATGCCAGAACTGGGGCTTAAACTGAAGAGCCTCACACTCTTGCTTAGCTTTTTCCCTCAAGGCTGGTACTTTACCACTTGAAACTTCTTCCAGTTTTTATTCTTTTTAATGTTTTTATTGTAAAAATACTGTACAGAGGGATTACAGTTACGTGAGCAAGGTAATGAGTCCATTTCCTATCAAGCATTGCTGCCTCCTCCTTTGTTTTTCCCTTATCATCCCTTCCCTCCCACCTCCACAACTACACTCCCCCCTCACTCCCTCACCCCAGGTTATTTTTTTTTTTTGGGTCCGGTCGTGGGGCCTGAAGTCGGCCTGGGCGCTGTTCCCAAGCTCAAGGCTAGCACTCTACCACTTGAGCCACAGCCCCACTTCTGGCTTTTTTCTTTTTGCTTATGTGGTGCTGAGGAATCGAACCCAGGGCCTTAGGCATGCAAGGCAAGCGCTCTACCACTGAGCCACTTTCCCAGCCCGTTGTTTTTGTTTTTTTTTTAGGGGCTTGCACTCAGGGTCTGGGTGCTGTCCTTGAGCTCTTCTGCTCTACCACTTGGGCCACATCACCACTTCTGGCTTTTTCTGTTTATGTGGTACTAAGGAATCGAACCCATGTCTTCATGCAAGCACTCTACCCTAAGCCACATTCCCAGCCCCCTCTTTAAGACCTTTAAGGATGAAATGTGTTTCAGTCCTGTCGTGGCCCCAAACAGATGACTATGGATTAGTTCATCGTTTCTGAGTTGTGGCCCAACCGGAATAAGGGTTTGGGGAGCCTGTGTAAGGGAGGGGTATGCCATTTCCGGTTTTCTGGTGGTTAACTGGAGATGAGTATCACAGACTTTCCTGCACTGGCTAGCTTTGAATCATGATCCTGAGATTTCAGCCTTCTAAGTAACGAGGATTACAGGCCTGAGCTACCAGCCCCCAGCCTACTTCTAGTTTTTTAGGTTTAACTAGAGATAAAAATCCTTCAGATATGTCTCAGGCTGTCTTCAAACCTCAATCCTCAGTTCTCAACCTCCTGGGTAGCTAGGATTACAGGTGTGAGCTCCCAGCTCCCAGCCTACTTCTAGTTTTTTATGTTTAACTAGAGATAAGAATCCTTCAGATATTTCTGTTCTGGCTGTCTTCTAACCTCAGTCCTCAAGATTTCAGCCTCCTGAGCAGTTAGGATTACAAGCAGGAGACACTGGTACCTGGCTATTAATTTTCTAATGTTGAGAAACATTTATTTCTGTACATACTTGACATTTTTTAAATGTTCTAACATTATTTACATCTGCAATGTAGGGAAGGGCCTAGAATATTCTAGTAATGTGCTCTATCACTGACCTATACCCTCAACCAATGTCAACAACATTTTGTATCTTGATTTTTTTCATCAAATTTCTTATCAGTTGTAGTCATAGTTGTTCATGGTAATAGTACATATGTTTAACAAAGATAAAACAAAGAATAACAACCAGGAGTGGTCTGATGTATTTACCTCATAAATAGGAAGAGTTGGAGAATTCCATGCATTGATTCTTGATTCATTAACATCAACAACTGTTACCCTGATTTCGGGGCACATATGGGCAATGACACTGCATGTGGGTCCTCCAACGTAGCCCGCACCAATGCAACAGATCTTCTTAATTTCAAACATGACTAAAGTAGAGTGGAGACAGGAAGAATGAAGTGTTAGCATTAAAACGCGAAGCTGAAGAAACCACATCACACATTCATCATACTTTACAAATGTTGCCAAAGTGACAGTGTATCTGGAAAGATTTCCTACATTCACTCATAGAAATTACGCAAATAGTGATTAAAAAATAACATTCCAATGGGATGGCCTAACTTGTTCTCTCTCCGCTAGCCTGAAACAGACGGAAAAAATTATAGTAACTGATATTACTGGCAGAGAATTACAAGGATTATAATGACTTAATACTTACAAAGTCAAGAAGGAAAATACAGTCTTAGTTTAATAAACTAGGACAACTTCGATCTCTGATGGAAAGTTCCAGTGTAAATTTACAAACCAGTACAATTCTTGTTTAAAGTTTGGCGTATATAGGTAAGTTTTCAATAGGTCTAAATTGTGATAAATATTAAGAGTAGTTCCTTGAGCCAGGCATAAGTGGCTCAGGCCTAGAATCCTAGCTACTCAAAAGGCTGAGATGCAGGAATATGGATTGAAGCCAGCCTGGGCAGGAAAAGTCCATGAAACTCTAATCTCCAATTAACCACAAAAAACGGGAAATGGAGCTGTGGTTCAAGTGGTAGAATTCTAGCCTTGAGCAAAAGATGAGGGAACAGTACTCAAGTCCTTTGTTCAAGCCTCAATACTGGCAGAAGCAGAAGAAGAAAGACAAAGGAAGAAGAAAGAAGCAGCAGCAGGAGCAGCATTGGTGGCTCACGCCTGTAATCCTAGCTACTCAGGAGGCTGAGATCTGAGGATCATGGTTCAAAGCCAGCCCATGCAGGAAAGTTCCTGAGACTTATTTCCAATTAACCACCCGAAAACCAGAAGTGGAGCTGTGGTTCAAAGTGGCAGAGCACTAACCTTGAGCAAAAGAATTTAGGGACAGTGCCAGGCCCCAGGTGAAAAGAAGAGTAATTCCACAGTCCAGAACTGACCTCTAAGATTGGACTTTCTGCTGTGGTTTGGCACAACTCAAGTGGTAAAGTCCTTGCCTAGGGAGCTCAAGGCCTTGAGTTCAAATTCCATTACTATTCCCTCCAAAAAAAGAATGTTTACCCCAAAACATGTGCTAGAAACTTAATTCCTAAAGGTGGGGAATTTGAGGCCTTAACAGGAATTTTTAAATTTAATTTTATTGTGAAAATACTGTACAGAGTGGTTATAATTACATGGGCAAGATAATGAGTCAAGGGCTGGGAAGGTGGCTCAGTGGTAGAGCACTTGCCTTGCATGCATGAGGCCCTGGGTTTGATTCCTCAGCACCACATAAGCAAAAAGAAAAAGCC